CTGAAGACACTGGAACATTGTCAAGGTCAAAGCCATAACTAACATATCCATAAAGTATGATTATTACATGGTACTTCTATACACACTGCTTCTAATACTTATAGCTTTTGAAACATCATTATCCCCATTTAACAGAAGAATAAATTAAGACTCAAAGAGAATAACTTATCCTATAAGAAAAAAAAAATTGTGAATGACTTAAAATGAGAAAAAATTTTAATTTTTGCAATTTAACTTTCCCAAAATTAAACACCTAACACACTTTTCAAAAAGATACTATTCAAAACAGCTGCATGTTCAGAGGTAGCAAGTCCTATGAACAAAAGTATATGTTGCCTCTGTTGATATGCTTTCCGCATTTTTAGTCTAAAATGGGTTATTTTCTCTTATGTGAGGAAACATATAGGTTATTTAGTACAAGCTAAAATACCTTTTATCTACAGTACAATCACAATAAAGTAATATATAAGTCCTAATTAAATTGTTTGTAAAGCTTTTGTTCTTTTTCTCTACCTACATGTGTTCTTTTTTTTTATATACTATTTGGAAAGAGACAGCTGATGAAACCATCATAGAAATAAATTTAACTAAGGCCTAGAAAATTTTTGTGGGTTTATTAAATAAAATTAAATATAATTCTAAATAAACAGATGAAAGCTGGTGTGGGAATGTAAGAAAGGAAGAGAGGGGGAAAAAAGAAGGAATCTTGTTTTTATTTTTTATTCTCACCCGAGGACATTTTTGCATTTATCTTCAGATAGAGCAGGAGGGAGAGAGGGAGGAAGAGAGAGAGAGAAACATGGATGTGAGAGAGACACATCAACTGGTCACCAGCCACACAACTCCATTCAGGGCTGGGGACAAACTGCAACCAGGTGCATGCCCTTGGAGGAAACTGAACCTGGTCTCTCTGGTCCACGGGCTGAGGCTCTAACCGCTAAGCCAAACCGGCCAGGGCAGGAATCTTTTATTAATGACAAATTTCTGGCCTGATCAGAGAAACATAAGGCATAAAAAATTATTTCAGTTCTCCTTATCTATTTTCTAGGAAAGTTTAAGCAGTAATACATCACTTAATCCCAAACTACTTCTTATCATCAATAATTATGGATTACTACAGAAGTGAGGACAGTGTACTGCTAAGGAGTCAAGGCACTGTGGCACAGTTGAATCGCTTAACTCTCCCATTTACTAGCTCTATGACCACAACCCTTCATCTGTAGAAATAGGGTAATAAAAGCTCCTATTTCATGAGGTTATTATGGAAATTAAATGAGATAATGCATGTCAATTGCTTAGAAAAGTTCTTGATACTTAAAAATGTATTTAAATGTTAGATGCTTATTATTATTATGTCCACTGTTAAGTAAAGCATTTTGTTCTTACCTCATATAGTAATGATCACATCATAACTCTATTTCAAACACTGTTGGCTTCCCACTGCCTTCAGAATTAATTCCAAACTCCTTGACATAACTTACAAGGTATTCCAATAATCATCTCTCATCATTATTTCTCTTCTACTCTAAATCAAGCTTCATAAAACTTCAATTCCTCAACTATGCCATACCTACCTTGCTTGCCTCCAAGTCTTTCCACATGAAGTACATTTTGCATGGAATATTCTTTCTTGTCTCTTTCTTCCTTCAATGTATAAAACATCTCTTCTTTTGAGAGACCATCCCTGACATGTTGACTAGTCTAGATCAACCAACTTAATAAGTTCATGGAAAAACCTTTCAACCAGAATGTGTCAAGACTGAAGATGAAAGCCAACATGCTGAGACTGGCTTATTGTAAGGATGAAAAGGGTCTGGGTCTCCTTATGACCAAACTATGTTATATTAGAAATAAATGTACTTATGTCTTAAACCGGATATTGACAAAATACAACCCCTGGGCCAAATCTAGCTGTCAACTTTTGTAAATAGATTTTATTGAAACACATCCATGATGTTCGTTTAGTGTTAACTATGGCTGCTTTTGTGCTAAAAGGACAGAGTTCAATAGTTGCAATAGAGACATATGGCCTAGAAAGCCTAAATTATTTCTATCTAGGCTTTTACAAAAAGCTTTGATGTCCCTGGTTTTGTTACTTATGACCAAAGCATCTTAACTCATATGATGGCACTGTAATTACTTATATATCTGTCCTTCTACATATGCTTATTTATGCCACCTACATGAAATCCTCAAATACCATTATGTCCCTATTACCTAACAGTACTTGACAAATAGAAGGTATTTAAACACTGTTGACTGAACAAGTGAGCATAACTGATTAATAACCAATAAATATTTATTAAAAACTAACTTGTACATTAGGTATTCTAAGTAAGACAAAAGAGTAAACGACACATTCTCTGCCCTGAATGGCTTAAAAATTAGGTTTAGGAAATAAGCACATAAGCTTTAAAAAAAAAATAAATTATTTTTGGAACAAAACTGGGTACATCTATACATATACAAATACTACCACATTAGCCCAGTTGGTGTGGCTCAGTGGTTGAGTGTTGACCCATAAACTAAGAGGTCGCCAGTTCAACTCCTGGTCAGGGCACATGCCCAGGTTGTGGGCCTGATCCCCAGTGGGGGGCATGCAGGAGGCAGCCAATCGATGTTCTCTCTCGTCAATCTTTCTATCTCTCCCTCTCACTTCTTCTCTCTCTAAAATCAATAAAGAAAAAATAATAAATAAATACTACCATATTAAATGTATACAATGACCCCCTCAAAAATCCTGACTTCAGGTTGTACCAAAAGGTATGAATTTATGTCCTCAGCATTAACCAGGAGAGAATGCACCCTGACATAGCACCACCCTTTACTACTGTCTACTAAAATCATGGAGATGACTGAATCAAGCTACTTATAACTTTTTGGCATCAGTACCCAGGGCCCTTCAACTGACCCCTCTTATTTGGACCTTGTTCACTCCCTTTGCTGAGATGTAAGAAATAATGACAAATACATTATAGTCTTGTGAACCTGTTATCCAGGAATCAGTCCCTTGAACACCATCAACTCTGAGTGAAAAAATGAGTCTAACCTATAAAGCTGGCTCAGACCCTCAAGATTAATATCACCATCACCATATGAGGACCTTTCCTGAAACCACCTGACCTCCATTTTTTATGCATACTCTAATTTTTCTTACCTTTAAAATTCACAAAAAAATGTTTTATGTAATATCAATTTTACACAACTGTGAAAATATTACTCTAAAAATTAAAAGTTGGTGAGATGAAAAGCAAAAATAATGACCATTAAAAGTCATAGTCATACTTCTCATAGTCATATAATATCTAAAGTGTAAATCAAAAGGGAAAAAAAATGGAAGCAAGGCAGTTCCTTGATCAACATAATCTAATCATCCTTCCAGCCCATATTTTCCAGTCTCAGACATCTTCTCTACATTCTTTCTTCAAATCTATCATTCTCCCAACTTTCTCCCTTTATCAATAGATTTCCCCATACTCTCTCTCATCCTCATTACATTCTACCAACTCTGGTTAACTAGACATCTCTAGTTTCATAGCCAGATATCCAACCCTATCTCCTCCCCTATAATATTCAACAATCCTTAAAACTAGAAAAGGATTGACCTCATAATTTTGCAGGATCACAACTACTCAATTTGTATTAATGTCTGCGGGATGATCAGGAAAAAGAAAGTTACATAATAATGTTATCCTCTTCTAAAATCCACCACAAATTTATTACTTCAACCAACATGTAAAAGTCAACAATCTAGGCAAATTGATATCGTATCACTATAAATCTGGAAATAAAAAATAAACACACAGACAACTGGGAAAAGAAAAGGATTAAAGAAGAGTTCCATATCCTTTAATAAACGTAATTCTCCATAGAATCAAGATCCTGGTAATCTCTTAAATTTAACACTGAAATCTGATTGATACATTAAAAATAAACACTTTTAATTGAAGTATTAAAGTGAATGTATGCAAGGTATTGAAAGACTGACATAGGGGATACATTCCAAGATATTTTACTTCATAGAATGACAGATCCCAATGTCAGTTTTGAATAAAACACATTAAGAAGCTGTAATTTAAGCTACTAACCAAAACTATTTCATTTTAACAGCTTCTAATTTAATAAACAGTTATAAGTGAATTTCACCCTCCAAATGGACAGAGCTAGAATAACTGTTTCAATAGTATCAATTCCAGAAAAAATATATTCTGGGTCTTATTAAGTACATACACTCACTCTAACACACACATACACCTTAATATTGACCAAGTCCCCATTTTATATTGAAAAAGGTCTAACCACCAGCTGGTTTTGCTCAGCAGTTAGAGCATTAGCCTATGGACCAGAGAGTCCCGGGTTCGGTTCCCACTAAGGGCACGTACCTCTGTTGTAGTTTGTCCCTGCCCCAGTTGGGGTCATGTGGGTGGCAACCACTCGATGTGTCTCTCTCACATCGATGTTTCTCTCTCTCTCTTCCCCCTTCTGTCCCCCTGACCCCTGGCTCTATCTGAAGATAAATGCAAAAATGTCCTCAGGTGAGGGTAAAAAAAAAATTTAGAGAAAGGGGCCTAACCAATAGTAAATCACATGGTGCATTCCCTTTGTTTCACTTTTATCCTTTTTAACATCTTTATAGACATCTTTAATCATTCAGTAGTCTTCAAATTTAAAACTCATATTCATAATAAATAAAGTTGAATATAGAACTTTCCTAAAGAATTATGCAAATTTTCCTTTACTGATATACTAAGCTTTAATAGTACTGTTTATTTTGTGTTTCTAAGATTTGTTATATAAGTATTAAATAAAAATAGAAATAGACATCATAGTAAAAATCTGAGATAAATATTTTTATTTCCTCTTCTTTCCCTATTGTATGCTCCTCTTTGTTCATCTAAGAAAAACCTCCAAGAATGAAAATCCAGTTTGAACACAGCTGTGGAATCACTGAATCAACACTGTTTAAGATTTACTTAATGTTCATGAAAATACCCACTTACCCACGTTTGATGTTGTGTAATTCCTTGTCCTTGCCTTTATCCTTTTCCTTTTCTCTTTTTTCTTTATCTCTGCCTTTACGTCGTTCTCTATCCCGAGATCGGCTGCGGGTTCTTCTGTGACTGGACCTTTCACTGCTTCGACTATGAGAACGCAGACGAGGTCTTGACCTGGACCTACAGTAAATAGATTTTACTAAATACATTCAGTGTATATTTTGTATTATAAAATGAAAAAAAAAAATCCTTAAAAATTATCTGAAAGAAGAGTATTTAGTTTTAGTTATGGATTCAGTAATTAAATAACTGTGAGATAAGCATCTAAATATGTGTATTTATAAATAAGTACTCTTAGTGAAAATGATATATAAGGATATCTGGCTATATATATATATATATATATATAGTCAACTTTACAGGAAATTAAAGTTTAGTCAAAGAGTGTTTGCAAATAGCCTAGCTGGTGTGACTCAGTGGTTGGGTGTTGACCTGTGCACCAAGAGGTTGCTGGTTCGATTTACAGTCAGGGCACATGCTCAGGTTGTGGGCCAAATCCCCAGTGGGGGGCATGCAGAAGGCAGCCAATCGATATTCTCGCTCACCAATGTTTCCATCTCTCCCTAATTCTCCCTTACTCTCTCTTTAAAATCAATAGTAAAGTAAAAGTCTTAAAAGCTCAAAATCAATTCTTGATTACTCAAGTCTCCTCATATAATTTAACAAATCTAAATATATCTAATCTAATATCCAAGGATAGAGTCTTCTCTATCCCAACCTTACTTCTTATCTCTAATTGTTACAATAAAACTATTCCTCAACTCTACTCTAATCTGGTTACTCTTTGTATTAAATGATAGTATCAGGTAGGATATACTATGTAATTTTAAAAAGTAAAAACTTCAGATCCTGCCTCCCAGTATTGATAAGAAAGCCTCTACCAGACTGATGATCTTACAGATAACTAATGAACTATCTGAAGGTAATGAATAGTGACCAAAATAAGACTATCCAGTCTTCTATGGGGGCCAACACTTGGAAAAAGAAAACAGCAATGAGGAAGTTTCCCATTTTATCAGCTTCTTTTCCAAGGACAAACCCAAGTCTGTGCCATGTAGGTCAGCTATAACTACAACAAAAAACTTCTGGCCTGAAAAACCAGAAGACAGACACAGACCAACCACTGGAAAAAAAAAAAAACTAAAGGAGAATCTTGAAAAGGAGTCAGAAGAAGGAGCTAAAAATCTGTATGTAAATTCCATTCAAACCTCTGACTGAACCCGACATTATACATATAAAGGGTAGATTCCAAATAGCTAAAAATAAAATAAAATTGAACAAAAATTTCCACTGCTCCCCAAGAGGCAGAATTTTTACAATTTTAATTTAACTAAGTTAGTTTTCTGCTAAAGCAAACAAGTAAATAAAATAAATCAACATGACATTCACCATGTCCAGTATAAAATCCAGAACTACTAAATATACAGCAAAATATTAAAAATGGGATCCATACTCAAGAAAATAAGTAGTCAATGAAAACCAACCCTGAAATGAACCAGATGGTAGAATTAGCAAGCAAAGACTTTAAAGTAATAAGTATAACTATACCTATAATGAATATAAAGTTAAGAAATGTCAGCAGAAAACTAGAAAATGAAAAACAAAGAAATTCTAAACTAAACTAAAAATATACAATATCTGAAATTATAATTATGATCAATGAGATTTAAAGCAGACTGGTAACAACAAAGAAAAGAAATCTGTGTACTTAAAAATAAATAAACTCAAATTATTCAATCGGAAGAACTAAGAAATGGATTGCTAATAAGAAAAAAAAAAACAGCCCTGGTCAGTGTAGCTCTGTGGTTAGATCATTGGCCTCTGCACCAAAGGGTAGTGGGTTCGATTTCAGGTCAAGGTCACAATGTACCTGGGCTACAAGTTTGATCCCTGGCTTGGGTCAGGGCATGTGCGGGAGGCAACCGATCAATATGTCTCTCTCACATTGATGTTTCTCACTCTGTCTCTCTTTCTCTTTCTCTCCCCCTCCCTCATTCTCTTTCTCTCTAAAATCAATGGGAAAAGTATTCTCTGGTAAGGATTAACAAAATAAAAGAAAGACAAATCCTTTGGGATCTGTGTGACAATATTTAAATGTGTCAAAGATATCTATTTAAAACCAGAAGTAGAGAAAATAATGAGACAGAAAGCAAAAATTTTAAGTAGTGGTCAAAATTTCCCCAAATTTAGTGAAAGACAAATGTATAGATTCTAGAAGTTCAACACATTACATGTTGGAAAGCAATGACATGAATTACTGCTGGCTTCTCATCAGAAACAATGGAGATCTGAAGATAATAGAGCCAAATTTTCACCATGGTGAAAGAAAATAAAACAACACAAAATTTTATAACCAGCATAAAAATACCTCAAAAATTAAGACATTTTTGAGAAAAAAGAAAAGTAAAACATAATCAGCAACAGTCGATCTGTATTACAATACAGACCAAAGTAAGTTCTTTAGGGTGAAGAAAATGATAACAGATGGAAACTTGGATTTTAGGAAGGACTGAAGGCCACTAGGAATGGTTAAAAAAAAAAAAAAAAAAACCTACTTCTTTTAAATTATTTAAAATACATATGTATTTATGCTTAAAGTAAAATTTACAATGTCTTACTGAAGGGTTATAATAAAGGTGGATATAATATATACAACCTCTATAGAATAAAGTACGGGACAGGTAAATGGACCTATACAGTTACAAGGTTTCTACATTTTATCGGAATGATAAAACAGTAACTTTAAATACACTGAAATGATAGGGGCATAAATGAAATCCTTAGAGCAACTACTTAAGGAAAGAAATACAAATAAGTATAGCTAAGAATCCATAAAATGAACTAAAGAGAATTCTTAAAAATAATCATTAATCCAAAAGGAAGCTGGAATGAATGAACAAAATAAAAACAAAACAAACTCAAAACAAAGGCTCAAACATAAAACAAATAATAAAATGGCAGACTTAAATCCAAACATATCAATAAATACATTAAGTATTAATGGACTAAATGCTTTAATTAAAAAGCAGAGATTATCCAAATGAATTAAAAAGCCACACACAACTATATGCTGTCTACGAGATATGTTCTTTAAACACACAGCCAGAGCCCTGGCCAGTATTCTCAGTGGTTAGAGCATGGGCCTGCAGACCAAAGAATCTCTGGCTGATTCTGGTCAAGGGCATATATATCAGTTTCGGATTGGTCCCTGGCCCTGGTCGGGATCGTGTGGAAGGTAGCCAATCAATGTGTGCCTCTCTCCTTCCCACTCTATCTGAGGATAAATGGAGAAATATCCTCAAGTGAGGATTTTAAAAAATATCTATCTATTTATCTATCTATCTATCTATCTATCTATCTATCTATATATTTGTACATACATATATACACAGCCATAGATAGGTTGAAAGAAAATGGCTAAAAATAGATGTATCAGGTAAACAATAAATACAAGAAAGCTGAAATTAATATATTAATATCAGATAAACAAGACATCAGAAACTAAGAGTATACCCAAAATAAAAATGGGATACTTCATGATGATCAAAAGTCAATTCATAAGTAAAAATCACACAAAATATGTTTATCTGACAACAGCAGAATTCAATTAGAATTCAATAACAATTAAACATCTAGAAAAATACTAAACATATAAAAAAAAATAATATACTTATAAATAATTATACTTCTAAATAATTCATGCACCAGTAAGAAGTTACAAGAAAAAACTTAAAAATTTTAAACTAAACTACAATGAAAATACAACATAGGAGAATTTGTGGGATATAGATATGTTCAGCAGGGTTATTCATAGCTTTAAATGTTTATATTAGAAAGGAAGAAAGGACTAAAATCAATTACCTAAGGTTCCACCTTAGGAATCTAGAAAAAGAAGAGCAAAGTAAACACAAGGTTGATAGAAGGAAGTAAACATTAAAGAACAAAACTAGCCCTGGCCGGTTTGGCTCAGCGGTCGTAGCATCGGCCTGCGGCACAGAGAGACCCGGGTTCGGTTCCCGCTAAGGGCACGTACCTTGGTTGCAGTTTGTCCCTGGCCCTGGTTGGTGGTGCGGGTGGCAGCCACTCGATGTGTCCCTTCACATCGATGTTTCTCTCTCTCTCTCCCTCTCTCTCCCTCCTGCTCTATCTGAACAATAAATGGAAAAATGTCCTCGGGTGAGGATAAAAAAAAAAAAAAAAGAACAAAACTAAATGGAATAGAAAGCAATAAAGAACATTAACAATGCCAAAATCTGGTTCTCTGAGACTACCAACAAATGTGGTAAATCCCTAGCTAAAATGATCAAGCAAAAAAGAAAAGGGCAAGCACAAATTATAAAAAATTAAGATTGTGGGTGATAGAAAGACCACATGAACTAGGCCTGGGTACTTAGAATAAATGGTCTAGAAGAGAATTACATGGATTTCAGTGGTAGTAATGTCTATCCTCTTTCATCCCTAACTGGTTCACTCAGTAAATGAAGAGCAATATTGTGTCATAAGATCACAAACGTGTTTTTTTAATAATACAATTTTGAGAAGTTATAATATTTACTGCTAGCAATGTCAATATGAGCTTATTACCTTAATTTATAAAAATTAAATTTCCAAGCCCGGCCATTGTGACTCAGTGGATTGAGCATCGTCCCTTGGACTGAAAGGTCCTGGTTCAGTTCCTGGTCAGGGCACATGCCTGGGTTACAGGCTTGATTCCCAGCAGAGGGAGTGCAGGAGGCAGCCAATAGATGGGTTTCTCTCATATAGATGTTTCTCTCTCTCTCTCTCCCTTCCTCTCTCCCCCAGAAAACCAATAAAAACATATTTTAAAAAATTAAATTTCTATAATTTTTTCTTTTAGTTTGACTACTCCCTAATTTTGACACACAATTTCTTTCCACATAAAATAAAGTCTTAATAAACATAAAAACAAACTCGTAGATATAGACAACAGAATGGTGGTTACCAGAGGGGAAGGGGGATTGGGGAAAGACAAAGAGGGTAAAAGATGTCAAATATATGGTGACAGAAGGAGACCAGACTTCAAGTAATGAGCACACAACAAAGTATACAGATGTCTTATTACAAAATTGTACATCCAAAATTTTTTTTTTTTTTATCCT